GCCACATTGCGGGGCTAACACGACTCGCACCAGGGTGCCAACCATTTACATGCGATCACCATAACGACGAATGAGAGAGACTGTCACAATGGACTGCATGGCGATGATCATTGGGACGGAGTATAGACCAAAGTGTAGTTTTCTGGAGCCTCCAACGACATCTCTCCTTCATCTCCCATTCCGTACACCAAGCAGTCCTCATCTTGCTACTCCCGGCTGCCACCAGAAACTTCGCATCAATCCATGGATGATATCTACTTAAGAATAGCCTGCATCCACTGAGTCTTACAGTCACAGATACCCAAAGCTCAGCACACATAATTTGTCCGTCAACTACTATGTCACCACATGTAGACCTCTCTTACCACAAACGTGTGTGGTGGAAGGAAGCGACGTTCTATCAAATCTACCCGGCATCTTTCAAGGACAGCGATGGCGATGGGTGGGGAGATATCCCGGGTATACTTGAGAAGATCAGCTACATCGCGTCCCTTGGTGTAGATGTGGTATGGCTATCGCCCATGTTCGACTCACCGCAGATTGATATGGTAAGCAACAAAATGTACGAGATGTGTATAGACTATCGCTGATCTCGCGCCTCAATGTGTCAGGGCTACGATGTTTCCGACTATGAAGGTGTATATGCACCGTACGGCACTGTCAAGGATGTGGAGAAACTTATCAAAGCCTGCCACGATAACGATATGAAGATCATCCTCGACTTAGTTGTAAATCATACGAGCGATCAGCACGCTTGGTTCCAGGAAAGCCGGAGTTCCAGAGATAATCCGAAACGAAACTGGTACTTCTGGCAACCAGCACGCTACGACGAGCAAGGGAACCGCATGCCGCCCACCAACTACCGCTCATACTTCGCCGGTGGAACCTGGGCGTGGGATGAGCATACGGAAGAGTACTACCTTCATCTCTACGACAAATCCCAACCAGACCTAAACTGGGAGAACGAAGACTGCCGACAAGCGATCTACGACTCAGCAATGCGCTTCTGGCTCGACAAAGGCATCGACGGCTTCCGCGTAGACACCGTAAACAAGTATTCCAAAGTCCTCCCTTTCGCTGACGCGCCCATCACCGACCCAACCAGCTCCATCCAACCCGCCGCACAAATGTGGTGCAACGGGCCCCGGATCCACGAGTTCATCAAAGAAATGAACCGTACCGTCCTCTCCCAATACCGCACCTACGACAACCAACCCGTTGTAACAGTCGGTGAACTCTCCTTATGTCCTGATCCCTCCTTCGTCCTCCCCTACATCAGCGCCGCACAAAAAGAACTAGACATGGTTTTCCAATTCGACATCACGCATCTCGGCCAAGGCCCGCCAGGCTGCAACGACAAGTACGATTACGCTACTTGGACACTACCTGACATGAAGCGCATAGTAGAAAAATGGCAATGTTTCATCGAGGGTACAGACGCATGGACAACCGTCTTCAACGAAAATCACGACAACGGCCGCAGTATCTCTCGCTTCGCAAACGACGCACCCGAATGGCGAGTCGCCAGTGGCAAACTACTCGCTTTGTGGCTAATCGGTCAATCGGGCAGTTTGTTCCTGTACCAAGGCCAGGAAATCGGTATGATCAACGCTCCGTCATCATGGGATATAGAGACAGAGTACAAAGACGTCGAAAGCCAGAACTACTGGGCCGAAGCTGTGAGGCTAGCCGAGAACGGCACGGATCCTACGCGTAAAGAAAGGATAAAGAGGGGTTTACAGCGCATGGCTAGGGATCATGCGCGGTTGCCGTTCCAATGGGATGACAGTACAAATAGTGGGTTTTCGACGGGAATGCCGTGGATGAGGGTGCATGACGAGTATGGTAATATCAATGCGGCGACGCAGGAAAAGGATGAGGGGAGTGTGCTTTCGTTTTATAAGCATGTACTGAAGCTCAGGAAGGAGCATAAGGATGTTTTTGTGTATGGCTCGTTTGAGCTGGTGGATCCGGAGGGCAAGGAGCTGTTTATCTATCGGAAGAGGTGTGAGGGGAAAATGGCGCTCGTTGTGTTGAACTTTACGACGGAGGAACGGGAGCTGGAGTGTGATCTTGAGGGGTTGAAGTTGCTTGTGAGTTCGTATGGGAAAGCGACGGGACAAACGCTGCGGCCGCTGGAAGGAAGGATTTACATCAACTATTGAGAAGGTGGAGGCGAATGTTCTGGCGAGAAAGTGTAGACTATTGTCGATGCGCTATCAAGGGTATACTACAATGCAAAAGTCGCACCACACATCTCTCTTATTGTCCTACCCATCGTCCAACGATCGGAAGGTATTTGTACAGCTCGTCGTACTCTTTGCCTACCCAGCCCACCATCTTGCCGTCTCGTCCTACGACACCCAGACCGCCCGCTAGCCACAGTGCTGTCAGAGCCGCGCTAATGCCGTTGATAGTGTACCACCTCCTCTTCCGGATCAATGCTCTGTTCTCTTCCGTGTGCTTGACCTGGCTGGGTGCGAAGCCTAGCCATTTGGCTGCACCCCAGACGAAATGCCACACCCCGACTCCGACAAGTGCTGTGAAACCGGTGAAGGAAACGGCAGGGTGTAGTGCGAAGCCATGGGAGATATATTGGAGGTTGATAAGCGAAGAGTCTCCATGTGCGTACAACGGGAGAATCCTCGTAGTCCAGACATGGAAACTAGCAAAAGGCACCAACGCATAACCCAACGCACTTGTTCCACTCAATGCTGGCCAAGGAATCGTGCGCTTGTCAGTCCGTGTCTCGGCACCGTATCTCTTCAGCGCTTGTCGCCTTCTCCATAGCCGTAGTGCGATGCCAGAAGTAACGTGTGCGACGAGGGGGAGGCCAACGAGGAGGGGTTCGGTGAGAGCGGATTGGTAGTATGGTCGTGTGAGCAGGAGGTAGCGGTTTGATTCGAGGATGGAGCGGGTGGCGAGCGGTATTATGGAGACGTTTGTTATGTGGAGGGCGGCGAAGGCTGTGAAGGTGTAGGAGGAGTACTTTTGTATGCGGAGAACTGTAGAGTGGTTGTCAGCATGGCAGCTCTGTATTTGACGATTGGAGGAAGACGTACGCCACCAAGCGGGTCCATGATCACCTAACCGCAATCCCAAAGTGTTCATCCTCCTTATCCCTCTCATCTCTTCTGTCTCTTTCTCAGGCCGTTCCTCATCCGGAACCGGGAAATATTGATTTACTTTCAACTCTTCTGGCGTGTCAACGGGCGAAGGGTCGACTTCGGTGAGGCCCATGACGCCCATTTCTTCGTCTTCTACCGGTGGCAGACCTGAACTCTTCTCCATCTTGCGGTCTGTGTCGTGGTGTTGCGAGGTAAGGGAAATGCTACGTTGCTGAGACATGGAATGACGTTGATTCGGTGAAGATATAAGTGGGGCGCTGCATGCTTGAGCCGAGGCGCGTGCTGTTGAGCCGCAACACCAAATGTTCTATCACCACGCGCGATTACGCGACTGAACGACTGAACGACCCCGGTACCACACGATCCGACGAATCGCTTACGGAGTTGCTATCACTGGTGATATACCACCTCCATCACATCCCTACACCGCGACACACCTCACATAGACGCGACTATGCCACCAGTACGCCCTCCCCAACCCTACCCTCACCCACGCATCACTAACACCCCTCTCAGCGAAATAACCCCCTCCCAGCGGCTGTCCGCCTCTTCAACTGCACAATCTGCGACAAAGGCTATCCGCGGCAACTCGACTACGAAAACCACCTCCGTTCCTATGACCACAACCACCGCCAACGTCTCGCCGACATGAAGAAACTCACTGCCTCCAACGACACCGAGAGCAACAAGCCGAAGCAGGGTCTGGAGATGCGGAGTATAGATGTGGAGAATGCGAATAAGAAGCCGGGGGTTGGAAGTCGGTTTACGAAGATTGGGGGCGGCGGCAATGCTGCGGCGGGTGGCAGATTTAAGAAAGTTGGTGTTGCGGTAGGTGAGAAGCATGGGGTGGAGGAGAAGGCTGAGGTGGTGGTGGTGAAGACGGAGGATATGCCTGAGAAGAGTATAGAAGTACCGGTTGCAGCTGCGATGCCCATCGCAGAGGCCGAGGTCAAAAAGGAAGAGGACACAGTCATGGCGGATGAGGAAAGGGCAAACGAGATTACATGGGAGGAGTACGACTTCACAAAGCCGACTGGGTGCGATCACGCGAGTTGTCTTGGATGCAAGACAGACGGCATCTGGAGCGGTGGTTGGGTGGCTGTGGATGCTGTTTGAAAGACAGGCGTTTATCGTTCTTATGTTGACATTGACACTGTCACCGTACTCATACCCAGGACAAAGTCATAGTTGGGACCTTTCTACATTGCATAGCATCGGCGTTCAGGGAGTCAGTACCCAGTCAACGCTCACGTCATTCCAGAACTCTGTAAGTGTGTTCCAATCACCCCACAATACCTTCCCTGGAGGCTTTGGTCATTCCCTTGATTCTCGCGTCTCAATGGGGTACATTGGTGCCTAATCGCTGTTCTAACTGACCACAAGGGCAGGTTTTATCTACAACCGCTGCTTGTTCTCTATCCAATGTTCGAGCAGTGTCATTCACACGATTGACCGGGGTCGAAGAAGACATGGTGTTATCCGGAGTGGGTCAGCGTTGACTGTAATTGGGAATATTTATGGACGCGCTCACGCGCTCTTAACATGCGCTCTTAGTGCTGTTTACTTTAACGAAACACCGGGGGCGGCGGCGATCAAGCAGTGAATTCGCGATCTACATTCATAGTAGTCTGGATATGCGTAAGTGCATTTCTGTTGCTCAATTATTCTCATGATTCTAGTTCTTCCTAGTCGCTCGACATCTCATGTCGAAGACTCAGATGGTCCACTTCCATCATGATCTCCAGAGAGCTCCATATATCTCGTGAAGTCCTCCATGGCAGTGTCTCAATGTCTGATCAACACAGCGAACCAGGAAGCTTTTGACCGCTACTCTGACTGATCAATGGCCTGCGAAACTTACCGTCTTCTCTCTCACAGCACCCAGTACCCAAGGTCTGTCCAGGTCTTGCCCTCACGTAGAGTCCTCGGTAAAGGTACAATACGTATAATGAACTCTTCCTTGTACTTCGCAAAGTGAGAACAGGGTTGGCGAGCATTGATGCATCTGTCGTCCGCCGTCTTTTTGAAAACACCGCCTTGGCTGAATTCCTGCCTGGTTCTACCCGCACGAATCCCACCACTCACGAGGATGTTTCGGATACAAAAAGGCCTGTGAGGGCTGTCTGTGTAGTGTTTTGGGTTGAGGGTGCAGGTTCCGTAATACCGTCTCCTGTACTCGGTGGCCGAGCACATTTCCTCGTAGCGTCTCTTCAGCTCGGCCTGGACGAGGACCGGAAGGTCGTCAAAGTCCTTCAAGACATATTTACCCCGCTCGTTGCGAAGTTGCAAGTACATCGGTAGATCGACTGGCTTCCGAGTTGGTCGAGGCTTCAACTGACTAGGTAAATTGGTCGGCTTCCGATTCGCTTGAGCCTGCCGCTGCTCGGGCAAGTCGTTCTCGATATTTCGCTGATCATCATACTCAAGCTCAGGCTCGGGCTCAGGCTCGGGTTCCTCGTCATCGCTGATGAGGTCGATGATCTCCTGCTCTTTCTTTACTAGTACACGCGCGGTAGCATTGTCAGTCTCTTGCTGTCCAACCGCCTCAGCCGTTGCTGGCTCCTGGCCTTTCTTCACCTCAACATGCGCCGCAGCATTTCCAGTCTTTTGCTGTCCAGTCGCATCAGTCTTTGTTCGCTTTGACGCATTGGAGATCCCCGCAGGTCTACCCCGCTTCTTGGGTACACCAATTGATCCAACTGCAGTGACAGCTTGAGTTAGGGCGGGAGCGTTGTTGACCAGCGGCTGAGGTTGCGGAGCTACAGTCAATTAGCTTCGGTCAGTGTTATCACCAGAGGCGGTATTCTTGGACTTACCCGGGGCTCCGTTTTGCTTGCGAAGGAGAAGAGAGAAGACATTCTGAACTTCCTCCGGAGGGAGATGCTTCACGATCCGGTCGCGATCTGCCTCTGGTAGATCTTGCAGCGCCTTCAGCAAACCATCAGTCCGGTCGTTGGCACTCATATCGACTTTTGATGTCGCAAGACGATCGAGCGCTTTGCACAGCGGATGAAAAGATTGAAGCTAGCGACGATGGACGCGAGAAGAGGGCGCGTCACGCTGGCAATGTTGTTTTGAAAGCGTTTGTCGACCACTAGGCAGCCTTGGCGCCGCACCCTGGAGGAAGGAGCGGTGGACCGCCGGTCACTAAATCGAAAGAGACGCTACGAAGCTGATGGAAAACGAACTGCTAGATCACATGTTCATCCTGCACTGGTATGTTGTACCACGCATTACATCACTCACTTCAGTTGACTTTCCTCTCATCCATGGGTTCACTCCCAGGGAGTTCACTTGCTACATATAGTTGTCACACATTTCGCACGAATTGAGACCTCAATATGCAAATGTAGGTGAGCAATGATGAATATTCTCTCCCCATCATTGAGACAGCAGAGCGTGCTCAGCTCAATCCAAGTCCCGACACATCAACTGACGGAGGTAAGCCCAACAGTAGCTCACTCATAACCTTCCCACTTCCGAGCGACAATGTTACACCATCATCGAAGTGCGCTGTGTTGAAGAACAAACCACCGGGGCCGTACCGACCATGCTGGAGATCATCCTCTTGTTCAGAACGAAGCGGCGCCTCACGGAAGTCGTTATCCATACCAAGCAAATCCCAATCTACCTTCGTGACTATCGGATGTCCGAACTCCGCAAGCGGCCTATAGCACCTCCCCACCGCAAACACATCCAACTCTTCATCCTCCGGCACTCTCAAATACCCCTTCAAAACCTCTTTCATACTCTCAACCTCATCCGGCTGCGCATGCACATTCTCTGCAAGTTCAGGAAGTTCTTCCGGTGTGGCTCCCCATCCACCTATGTACAACTCCTCTCCGGGAAAACTAGTGACGTCGATACCCTGTCTACCCGGAACTTCGCTTTGGAAGAAGACTTGCTCACTTCCTTTCTGGTCGTTCTCTGGCTTCCATCCAGGAGTGCGAACGCGGAAATGGTTTCCGGCTGACGCTGTGGAATTCATCTGTAGCTGGAAAGAGGCGTGAGGGAACAGTGTTGAGAAGACACGTGGGGACCAGGGACCTGCTGCTATGACTAGACTTTTGCAGGGGATGTTGAGCGAGTCACCATCCTGTTGTTTGATCTGGATGCTTGTTAAATGTCGCGATCCTGGTGTCGCCTGAACTGATGTTGCGTTCGCGTTGAAGATGAAGTCAACGCCTAGTTTCTTGCACTCTTCGTAAAGAAATCGGCAGAACTGAGCTGGATCCCTTATCGGTCAGTTTGAAAACCATCGTGATCAGAAGGTCAACGTACAGATGTGATGCATGAGAGGGCCCAGCCATACGCTGCATTGACCAATGGCTCTTTGGTCTGATCCAGTCGGGAAGCGCAGACACAGGCTGTTCAACGGGAGGAGTCGGACCCCAAGTATCAGGTGGCTTAGGCGTACCCGTGAAGTCCTCGGGGATGATGCGATAGATTGTAGACTCGCTAAAGCCAAACTCCTTCACTCCATTTGCGAGAGCAAGTTCCTGGAACAGTCTGTAAGAAAGAGCGCCCAAATCAGCGACACCGGTCGCGAAGCCGAAATCTCCAAGTCCACCTGTCGCTTGACCAGAGGCAGCAGGACTGATATGTGCAGCTCGTTCGATGACGATGATCTTTCCAGGTGGCCTGGATGTTACGATGGCGGCCTTTCGATGGGTAAGAGCCAGCTGATAGGCCGTCGCGAGGCCAATGACACCTGCTCCCAGGATGACAGTATCAGCTCCCATCATCTCATCTTTCTGGAGAGTCAAACATTGCTGGGAGTTCGACCAGGTTGTGTCCGTAGTTGAAGAAGCCAGGGTGCGGGGCCGCCACAATGCAATGAGAAGGAAGGAACTTTTGAGATGCATGATGATATGCACTGCTTCAAAGACCAGCGTATCGCATTGAGATTTCCGAAATTCTGCGATCTTCGATGGTGATTATAGTTCTTGTGTTGCGTGGAAATCTGCAATGGCAGTTGACGTATGCTCTTAGGTCTGAGCTCAAGCGGCACGTTCACCGTTTGGCGTATGCTCAGTGGTCAGGACAGTGTTTGTCTAACTCACAAGATTCGGGTCTTCTCTACTGTCAGTGACATATAGGTATTCCTACTCTTCGCCATTCATATCGCATACTATCATACAAAGTCCATCTCAACTTCGTCGACTAGGCTCCATAACCCTTCTCATCTTCATGCGCTCAGCATGCACGAGATATCTCGCCCACGCTCAAACCCATCTACTTCCACTCCCAACACTCCTCAACCTTCCACTCAAAGTCCTGGAACTTGACAACCGCGCCCACACTCAAGATCTCAGACCTGAAGGTAACGCCACAAGGCAGGAAACCATCACCCACTCTCACAGTCCTGTTCCACTTCTCCACCTCTGACTTTCCGCCATTCCCACCAACCTTCTCCTTCGCAGTCTTTCCTTCACCATCTTCCCACTCCCATCGCTCAACGGTAACCTTGTCACCCCACATGAGGATACCCTGGCAGTACTGTCCCAGCCTCACAACCACACCTCTGACACCCGCGTGATCAGCCTGGCACCGCATAACCACACATACCATACTGCCCTTCTCATTCGTAGATACGGCGTCGACATCCCTCCACATCTCCTCATGAGTCTTAACCGCACCAAGCGCTGGATGATATCCGTGTCCATGCTCCAGCGTCAAACCGGGAGCAATGGGATACATGTCACCCTCATCAACAGGGATGTTCTTGTGGCCAACCGGGAAGCGTGAGTCGAGCCAGTGAGTCCAAGTAGAGTGTGTGACGTTGACCCAAGTTTCTTCCTTGAGCTTCTTGGCAGATTTCCCGTGCTGTGGGCCAGTGGGAGGAGGTGTGATGGGTACGCTGGTGGAAGTGCCGGTGAAGGCCCAGTCTAGGTGTGCAGAGTTGCCTACGTTGGTACTCTCCTTGACGGGCACGGGACCAGCGCTGGTGGAATTGATGGCGTCCTTGGAGAACGACTTGTAGATACGAACATCGACGAAGGTGTGGTTAGGGCTTGTCAGTACCAAAGTAGATGTAGGCTCGAACTGGTGAGACGGTAGGTTCAGCGCGTTCTTGTGTGGGAGGTGGATGGAGTAAGGGATCTCGGTGTTTGGCGGCAGAGGGTAAGGGAGGAAGTAGATATACTCGCGCTTGCTAATGTTGGCGGCACTGGGGTCTTGAAGGACGGGCTTGGGACCGTGGGTCGTGGTGATGGTGAAAGAACCCCCGCCATCGTCGGGTACTTTCGGAGCTTGGGAAGAAGGTGAGGCGCCCTTTTTGCCTGCTGTCGATGCCATGTTCTCGGTTTCGGTGCCGGAGTCTGGGGGCGTGTAGATGATGGGGCTGGTACTGGAGCTTGATTGATCGCCGAGATCACACGATATCTCGTTTGCGGGTAGGGCTTCGGCGGTGTTTGCCTGTGCCGCGGCGAGATGGTTCTTGGCCTTGAGCACCATTTTGGATTGAGTCTTGTTTCTTTTTGAAAGGGAAAGGCCAGAGAGACTAACAGTTACCGTGGTGAAAGCGAAAGAGGCGTTGAGATCTAGAAATTGAGTAAGCGACTGTAGGGCTTGGCAGAATTATCTCATAGAGATAGAAGATCTGAGGAGGATACATCGGCTTTTCACAGTGTACGTGGATGCCAGTACAACACTAAGATGTATACGATGTGGGAGTTGAGCGTGCAGGAATTACCGTTGCGGGAGCGTGTCTGCTACGGGCTTACTGGGAACTGTTGGGGGACTTACCAAGTGAGTACTTGAAGACTTCGTAGCTTGTGCTTTGCACGTTTTGCGTGGTGTTGTCGTGTTGTGACAGATACGGCGTGAGGTGGGGGAGCTCATGGTAACAAGAACCGCGCTAGCGACGTCCGTTTGCGCAAGGTGATCATCAATACTAGAATTCGAGGTGAATGGGAATTTCATACTGCTCGGCCAAATGACACATCACAAATAATCCTATCGTACTCTACGGTGAAGAGTGGATGTTGCTGGAAGAGACTGTAGAAGGAATGACGAAGAGATGAATGGGAGGCACGGCTTGCATTTGCAAAACTAGGTATCATTCACATGCTGTCATTTATTTTGACAGACCTAACCATGACGCCGCCCATGCTGGGAAAGCCCATGCTGGGAATACCCATTGCCGAATCGTAATCCTGACTTTTGTATTGTCGTAAGCCATAGCAAAGAACCAAGCAGCTACTTCAGTGAATAGCTTATTTCTTCTTGGAGTCGGCCTCCTCGGCCTTAGCCTTCGCGCGCTTCTCACGGACACCGACAAGGCGGGCCTCGGAGCGGGCGTCACGGAGCTTCCTGTAGGCGTTCTCGGTGGCCTCGTAGTTGCCAATGGGGCCCTCCTCGAGTTGGACGACGTTCTTGATGGGCAGAGCAGCGGCGGTGGACTGGACGAGGTTGTCGGCGCTCTTGGCGGCCTTGACGTCCTCGGCGGAAGCGTCACCAGACTTGGTCTTGCCGTTGCGGCGGGGGAAGAGGATGAGGCGCTTGCGGTACTCCTGGAGGCGCTCGACGTTGGCCTTGAGGCCCTCCTCGGAGAGGTTCTGGCGGCGAGGGTCGACAGAGATACCGATGGTGCGGGCGAACTTGCGGGGGATACCAGCGGCTGCTATGTGTTAGGGGCGCTTTGCGCGATTCGGTAGAGCAACATACCCTTCAGCTCAGCAAGAGAGAAACCACGGCCGGGGCGGACACGGCGGTTGTACTTGATGGTAGGGCAGCGGACGACGGGCCTGAGCTTGTCGACGGGCCTAGGGGCTACCTTCGCAGCCTTGGCAACGCGAGCATTGCGTCTGGACTTCTTCTTGCCAGGCTATCGTACTGTCAGAAATCTGAACACAGGCGCCACTACTCTCAGCGACGTGAGAGGGGAATTACCTGGTCGAAGTGGCAGCGGACGTAGCGTTGCCTGGAGAATGTTAGCTCATTGCCATCAACGCGCCGAGTGTCCCAATCGCGAACTCACCAGTCCTTGTGGAAATGGTTCTTCTGAATCTGCTGGTTGTGCTTGATCGCCATTGTGTCGGATTGTCTGCCCTAATCAGCCTTCGTTCTTCGCTTGTGTGGGAGCGCGCAGTGTCGACGGCGAGTTCGTATGATTGCGCTGGTTCGATTGCGCACTCCGAGAATGGTAAACGTACCTCGATGGCTGACCTGTGGGTTAGTTATCGTACGGCTGTCGAGGAAGAAATCTCGAAGTTCGCTCGCCAATTTCGACAGCCTTCCTAGCGCTAGTGGGCCAACCGAGTTTTCGGCGGCACGTTTTGCCGACGCCGACACTAGCGTGATGGGTCGGCTTGCGCTGCAGCACCAACGACGACCCGCTACTAGAATTAGTTTTCTGTCGCGAAGGTTACCGTGGTGTCCTCGTCAACTGAATCTGGTACCTTTGAGCCTGCTCATTATGCGTGTCGCTGTACTGATTACTTCACGCCTTCAACGTTGATGTGAAATTTGATCACACTCTGATGCTGTTGACCGGGAACGGTTGATTTGTCAAAGTATCGCTACATCCATTCGAAGTAAACTGAACACAACAATCTAAACATCCCTATAGTACTCGCCTGTAGTGAGTACATAATGTACACGAAGACATTACAAAAACGCTAAAGTTATCCAAAGAAGAGAAACCGCACAAGTGCACAAGAACCTTCAAACCACCACCCTAATAAGAAGAATCAAGGATCAAAAGCCACCGTCATCGGCATCGAAGAACTCGGTGTTAGAACTCTGCGCACTCGTCCAACTCTCCCTGGGAATCTTGTCTCTAAGCCAGGTCAGAACAGCGTCAGTGCCCTTCTGCAGCACCTGTCGGTTGGGTACTCTGAACTTGTTGCCTTCCACTTCAAAGCCTGTCAGGGTGCCTTGCAGCAACCCAATACGCGGCTCCAGACGCTCGATGTCGTTGTTGCCCAGGTTCACGATTCTGAGATTGTGCAGGCTTTCGGGCGAGACCTCGGAGATCCTATTGTCGGATGCCAGGAGCGTTGTGAGCGCGGGGAAGGCTACATGGAGCGTTGGAAGAGCACCGGCGAGACGGTTGATCGATACGTCCAGCGTTACGAGGAGAGGCGCCGTGAGGTATGTTGTCAGGTGCGTCAGAGAGTTGATCTTGTTGCTGGCGAGACGGAGATCGCGCAGTTGGGGAAGTTCGATGGGTGCTGACAGAGGAACTTCAATGCTGTTCCTAGACAGATCGAGTAATGTCAAGTGTTCGAACTGCGCCGCTATTGACGGTATGATCTCGAACTTGTTGCGCTGCAGATGCAATTGACGCAGTCCGTTGATCATGACATCCATGGTGACTTCATCCAACTCTAGTTCAGACATGCTCTTGTCCGCGAGGTCTAAGGTGCCCGAGGGTGTAAGTTGCCACTTCGGCTGAGCCTCTTCTGTGACACCATTCTCGAATTCGTCATCCACGTCGGCTGAGACCTCCGCTGGTAGTCGCGATGCCAGATCGCGCTTGATATCATCGGTGCCCATAGTGAGAAATTTACGATCGCGCAACGGGTTAGCTGCAACTGTGAGATGTTCTAGATGTTCCATCAAGGCAATCTTCTCATCAAGCTGAGTGATATCGTTGCCCGTGAAGTCTGCAGTACGTAATTGTTGAAGCGTCACGAATCCCTCTGGTAAGGTTGAGAGTTTGTTCTCGCCGACTAGTAGCGCCGTCATACTGATCCAGGTCGATACTTCAGGGAACGACGTAAGTCTATTCGTGGAGACATTGAGCGTCTTGAGAGCAGGCAATTCAACCACATCGCCATCGCACAGAGACGTGAGAGAGTTTTGTGCGACGTTGAGTTCCTGTAGATGAGGTACTGAGCTCAGGCTGAGAAGTGTACCCTCCAGACGGTTCTTCGACGCTTGAAGCTCGACAAGGGTTGCAGAAAAGACTTCGCTAGGAAGGGATCGGAGCTGGTTGTCCGACACATTAAGTGTCCGCAACTGCGTCAAACGCTGCATGTCTGCCGGTATGCTTGTCAACTTGTTCGATTGCAGCTCGAGGACCTCTAATGCTGTGAGATCGCATATCGCTGATGAGAGATCTCCGTTGAGGTCGTTTTCTGCCAGCTTCAACTCCCTCAAGGTGGGGATCTGAGCGATTACGTCCAACATCTCCATAGGCAACTTGTTCCGTGACTAGGCGATGTTAGCTACAGGATCTGATGGATTTTACTGATAGTGTGACTTACAAGGTTCAACTTCGAGAGCTGCGTAAGTCGTCTCAAGCCTACGGGCAACTCTCGCAGCATGTTACCGTGGAAGTCAATGCTCTGTACACCTCCGAATTGAGGTCCAGCCTCATCCGAATCAATCATGTCTTCAACTGATACATCAGGGAACATGCTGTCGGGAAGAATCTCAAGCTCGTTGTCTGCAGCCAGGATAGTAGACAGGTCTACTACCTCGCCCCAGGCCACCTTGGTATCGTTGGGGTCGTAAATGTACATGGAAAGTACGTCGTCAGGAATCTCCTTCAGTCCCATCGCAGCGATGTTGAGGCGGCCATCTGATCGGGCGGTATCAATGCGTCTGCGCAGTACAGACTTGCCACCCTTGGGGCGCTGGTTGAAGGGATCGTCATCGAGACCAAAGTCAAAGGTCGCAATCTCGGCAGGATCGGGCACGATAACATCGGTGGGTGGAGTGCTGTTCCTCACCGGCTCAGCCTTTGCCTGCTTCGCAGCTGCCCTAGCCTTTGCAATCTGTTCCCTCAGTGCATTGGACGAGCTGGCGGGTTTTGGCGGTGCTTCAGCGGGTGCTTCTTCGACGTCTGCCTTCTTCGCAGCTCTCGCTTTCGCAATCTGGTCGCGCAGTGCAGTGGAAGAGCTTGGGACCTTTCGCACGGTATCAGGTGTTTTCTTGACCGGAGTATCCCGGGCTGGTGAGGATGTAGCAGTGCCGGGCGGTGAGATCGCTTGACCGAAGACGTTGTTGAGGGACGGCCGAGATCGGGGTGTTCGCATGCCCGTGAGACTCTTGCTATTCGTCAGCGGACGCGGTTTAGGTGTGTTCTGTAGGTTCTGCGCCGGAGCCAATGGCTGCTTCTTCACAGTCGACATAGGCTGAAGCATCGAAGTACGCCTACTTGGCGTTGCAGCGGGTGTGCTAACATTTGCACTAACGCTTCTCTTTCCAGGTGCAGTCATAGACAGCCTGTTGGAGGGAGCACCGAACCGCTTGGGTGTAGCTGGTATTGGGTGCGGGGCACCATCACTCGTAGATGGCCTGCTGCCGTTGCTGTTCGACATGGCGGATCCGGGTCGCACCGGAGGGGCCATGCTGTTGTCGGCATTGAAGAAGCTCGATCTACGTCTTCCCTTGCCGGGTGCTGGCGAGGATGGCAGGTTGGACAGAGTCTCTGCCGTCCGTTCTGAGAGCGATGGGCGACCCTTCCTCTTCTCCGGCTTCACAGGACTGATGGGACTGGACAAATCGTCGATAGCTGAGTCCGCATGTTCCGGTTCGGGGTCGTTGTCACGGAATCCCGCTCTCGAGCTTGCCCGCGAGGATGCCCTCGAGGCTGACCTGAAGCCCTCTAGGCTCCCCAATGTGTCATCTTCCTTGGCGGGAGCGATCGAGGACGACCGCGATGCATTCGTCTGACGTGACGGTGGACGGGCAAATGGCCGCTTGAAGACGGGCGCATCGCTGGTACTCGAGGCGGCGGTCGAGGTCCGCCGTTGGCCGAAGTTGGGAATGCCGCTCGCCCTGCGGTTTGACGAGGGCGCGATGGACGACCGTTTGGAGGCTGTATTGTCAGGTACAGGGCTCGAGGCCGTCAGGGGGTTGCTGGAGTAAGCAAGGGACGCTCTCGACGTCTTCTTCTGCAGCGTCGACGTGGTCGGGCGCGATATGGACGACAGCGACGGCTTCTTGCGCAATTGTTCCGTCGAGGCGGGCGCGCGCAGCTGGGAATGGCTGTTGGACGGCCTGAGCACAGGGAGTCGCGAAGCCGGTGCCGGCCGTGGGATCCCAGACGGGCGCGGAATGGACGAGGACTGGTCCATGGTGATGCTGTCAGACAGCGCGCTATACGATGCAACGCCTAAGGGTTGGGAAGTCGTTCATGCAAGACGGCACAGGCGAAACACACGTCCAACCAGATTAAGGGTCCTCCACTTGTCGCCAGGTTGCTTTTCGAGAACCAATTCTCCGCGCCGGGTGCAGAGGGGCGTCTGAGCGAGCGGGAGGCGACCGTTGCCCCGTGAAACCAAAGGGAGAGCCATGTTTCTGTTGCGCTGACAGGTCGGGCCTAGCGCCGGTTGGTATTGAGCAGGGACGACCGGCGGGTCCTTCCTCAACCTCGCTCCACGCGCCTTCCGCACCGACGACATCGTCACCCACACACCCAACACACCCGTTACGAGCGCCCTGTCTTCTGCAAACACCTGTTCGCTGCCGTTTGCACGCTATCACGGTCGCATAACCCCCGCGACTTCTTTTTGGCAAACGCGCATCGACGCGCACCCCTGCACCCACCGTATCGTATTCGTCACCTCTACCGCGTCGCCCACCACGCCAGCTCCCCCAGCTCTTTGACACCTCTCCCCCCGCGTGTCACAGTTGGACTGGACAAAGCGCAATTCTCCTCGACCAAACACCGCCTCCATATCTTCCTGACTTGTGTCGCGCTGCTTGGGCCAATTGCGCCTGAGGCAGAATGGAGTCCCACGGAACGCAGTACCAGGACTCGTTGATGCCTACGACTGAGAACGCACAACCCGAAACACCACCCAAGCTTTGTTCTCCATCGCCCGCTGAGTCGGCAGCGCTCGCAATGTCAAAACTTGCATCCCCAGACCACAAGTTTACCTCCCCCGCACCCCGGACTACCTCTTCCATGACCCCTCCACCCTCTTCTCAGATCCCAAACATGCGTGCAGTCATGAGGACGCCTACTCCCCCGACTCCACAGCTCACGTCTCCCCCACCAACCAGCAAACTGCCCAATCAGCCGTCTGCTTTGACAGACATGGGTGCAGGTCTCTACCCGCAGGACCAAGTCAACAGTGCTTCTGCTGAGGAGCTGAGAACCATGGTCAACACCATCTCCAATGCATTACGTGACATGCGACTGTCCGCAGCCCACTACAAGCTTCAGTACAACATGGCTGTAATGGAGAGTCAGGAGTCTGCCAGCCGCATGGCTGTCGAGCTAGCCATGGCTCAGAGAGAGCTTGACGTTCTGCAGCAAGCTGAAGAGAAGCGCCGCAACAACATGGTCACCCCAGAGCAGACCTACCAAGAGTCCGCAAATGCAGCCAATGCAGTCCTGCTGTCAGAGATGGGCCGTCAGAACCAGATGCTGCAGAGTGAGAATGAGGAGCTGCGCGACATGCTTGAGCAGCAAAAACGTCTGACTGAGCACCGTGAGGGCGAGCTTGCTAGCCTCCTGGATGAGAATGACCGCCTGAAGACGCGAATCCGCAAGAACCGCGACCACATCGCACCTCTTCTTGAGCAGATCGAACAGTCTTCACCGCGGTCGAATTACGGCACACCTCATCAGCCAACTCCCAGAAATCGCGGCAGCCGTGTGCCGCCTGCTCTGTCCGAGGAAAGCAGAAGTCAGAACAACTTCGAAGCTCTTCTCCTAGCCGACAAGATGCTGAGTCAGGAGGTCGCTACTGCGCCCACGACCCCCATCAGGCAACACGCACCCAGATCACGCTTCAGTCACCAGCGCGGCGCGCAGTCCATGTCATCGCTGCCACAGACCCCGAACCGCAGAGCTGCCTACCCTCAGGTACCCCGCACACCGCCACTTTTCGTGCCAACCAACATCCCCCAATCTGCACCACCAGCGCACTACCAAGCCAAGCCATCCAACACCCGTCGCCAAAGCAGCAACTCCACCATCACCGCCTCCAGCGTCGACGAAGAAGAAGCCTTCACCGACCGCGAGGAGGACGAAGTCCCCGAATCCCAGGCCAGCCAAATGGCACGCAACCTCCTGCAAAGAGCACCACCCACCAAAGGCATGATGTCCGCCCCACCATCAGCCCAGCCAGCCAACCTCGTCCAAAGCAAAATCTTCGGCCAAGTCAAGAAAGGCTCCGGTCTAACCCGTGCCGGCGAGCTAAAGCGCGGCCGCATGCCCTCGACAGCGGATCTCCGCACTCAGACAAGTCCGCCGAAGCGCGGACGCGTCGATCAAGGTGTAGGTCTCGGCATTGGCGGCTTGCTGCGAGAGTAGAAGAACATTGTTCCTGACCATATGCGGCAGGGAGTTTATCAAGCTTATTGAAAGCTTCGTGGTTTTACGATTCTGATGATTCTGGGCGGCCACTTTCTGATGGAGGGGCCGTTTTTGCTTTTTGCTTTTTCTGATTTTGGATAGCAAGGTTTGGATACCCTTCATGCAAATGAATGCTGTTTGAGCATGGCGCTAGCTAGCGCGGCTGACTTTAAGGTTGGCTGATACTTTATGATTGTTTATGGATTATGGCGGTTGACATGTGGGCTTTTTGGATACCATGTGATGGGAAGTGAGGGGAGGGAGGTTTAGTCTAGACAGAACTTGAAGTCAATGTATATGCGCATTATCCGCTCACACGAAAGATCATAGGCTCTGAATGATTGTCCCTCTGTTTCTACCCATCTCACTCTAACACTCTGCTCACCGTCCCACCCCCCTCATCCCAAAATCTTTACCCATTTCCTCCCCTCACTAGCCTTTTCCATCTGATCAATAGCTGCATGCCACTCGACCGCCTGTGCAAAATCCACAAATCCTTCATCTACACTCTTGCCCTCAACAAACCCCTCATACAACATCCCCACATTCTTCGCCATCGGCGTCAACTCCCTAACCACCTCGTCATACTCCACCTCCACCGTCTCCACAACATCCGTCTCATGGTCGTACACCTCGATCTTCTCTCCGCCCATGGAAACATTCAGCATCGTAGCCGAAGTAAGTCGGATCTCGCCCTTCGTGCCGAACACTCGCCATACGAGACCGGGGGTGTCTTTGAACGTCTTTCCGTGTCGCAGCGCCATGGAGATGGGCGCGGAGTTGTTGCGGAGAATGCCTTGTAGCATGACGTGATCGGGTGTCTCGCGCTTGACAACGCGGTCGAAACTCATATCTGCTTTGAGCAGTTTGGTTTCTGGCCAACGGGTGGTCAACAATGCGGAACATTCTTCCAGGCCACCCAGAGCGTGGAACACGGCATCGGCCGTGTGTCCAACGATGATGCTGAGGAAATTCCCGCCGCTTTCTTTCTTGGTCATGAAGTCGTTGGCGGGGGGTTCGACGTCGCCCGGCCATCCCATTTCGAAAGTCAACGTGGAGCTGAGGATATCACCGATGGTCTTGTCCGCGACGAGTTGCTTCATCTTGCGAATGTAGGGGCTGGAACGGGATTGCAGACCGACGATTGTCTTAGATCCGCTTTTCTGGGCTGCGGCGTGCATTTCCTGGGCTTGGGACAGGTTGGATGCAAGGGGCCATTCGACGAAGACGTCTTTTCCTGCTTTGATACTTGGCATGAGCAGGGCGTAGTGTCTGTCTACTCGGACGGAGCAGACGACGAGGTCGACATCTGGGTCCTGAGCGAGATCATTGGGGCTGCCATAGGATTTGGTGGTTGGGGACAGGTTGTAGCGTTTGATAGCTGCTTGGGCGGATGAAACGCTGGAGTTGCAGAGGGCGGTGATTTCGTAGTGCGGTGAGGCGAGGAGGTAAGGCAGATGAGCGCTGCACGCATGGGTTAGTTGGGATTGGGAGCGGAAGTTGGGAAGTAGTATATATACCTAGCTGCCCAGCTGTCTCCCGGACTGGCGGAAATTTCGCCAGTGACGGAACTGAGGCCGATGAGTCCTACTTTGATGGGCATGTTGATGAGTTGAGGGTTTTGCTCTTGATAGATGTGCTGTCGTAAGGTGATGATGATGAAATGTAAGATCTATCCTACCAATGATGGATATATAAATCAAAAGAGCGATGCCGGTTGTTCGTCCGGTTTCAAGTTCACTAGAATCTAGATACATGGCCAGGACCGTTGGAAGGCACGCAATACGGTCTATACGGTGGTACTAACTGATAGTCGCATGGGGTACGTAGTGCGGAGTCAGGATATTGTTGCTACATGTCAGGCTAGCCAGGGTACGATTATGTACTTTCTGACTATCTGACATCTCTGACATGTCAACGCAACAACAGCGCCCGACTTGTCTCCACTGGATGTCTCAAGAAACCACCGCGGAGGGTTTCTTCTCATATGTGCTGAACCTAATAAGTAGGACTAGTCTGTCTGTCGGTGCCAGATCTCGGACGAGTAAACCGGAAGATCCGGTGGGTACTTAGCGGAGTGGATTTACTCCGCCGATGAAGGAAAAGCGCCTCCAGTATAGCCGCTCAAGAGAGGATAGACACTCAGATACTCGGCATTACTACGGCACTTTCAGTCATAGAGGTTGCTGTGCGGAAGCGCCACGCAGGTTGTAGGGACTTCGAGGGCAGGTGTGCTCGGCTAGCACGAGTAGTCGGCCCGACACAGGCCCCTCATTAGTCATCTCAACGCGCCCCAGACGCGGGCGCGTCCTTTTCGTGCTTTTCCGTGTCCCGTGACGTAACTCGAGCACCACGAAGGAGCCTTCTCCGTGGAAACGTACCATCGTTTTCCAGCATGCCTAGGTAATGTAAAGCTGCATGCTACGATGGTGGACGCTGGTGCTGAACCAACGCCATCGGCTCTCTTCGTCACGCACCCACGAACCTTCCAATACCTCGTCTTAGGTCACAGCAGGTTGTCTAGATGAGCGCAATACGCAACGCGATGAGTTCCGGTGCAGCGCGTAAACATTTCAGCAATGTATTCTCTTGGATCAAATCACCCTTCATTGTCGGAGCGCCGATGCGCGTCATGTCTGGTCCGCGCCTAGCTCTTGCAGTGTCCAAGGCAGGTGGCCTAGGATTCATTGGGCCTGGCGCGAAACCCGAAGATACCGCTACGGATCTGAAGAAATTGCGCAGACTGCTGAAGGACGTACCAGGCTCTACTTTCCCAGACGCACATCTGGCTGGAAAGCGATTACCGGTGGGTGTTGGATTCCAGCTCTGGAATGGCGATCTCAATTCAGCAACCAAGGCAGTGAAAGAACACCATCCTTGCGCTGCGTGGCTGTTCGCGCCTCGACATGGGCAGGAAGAGTTGGATGAATGGACGGCGCGCCTCCGGGAGGTAGCACCTGAGATCCATATCTGGATCCAGGTCGGGACCCTGAATGAGTCTTTAGAAGCTGCAAAAAGCGACCATCGGCCAGATGTGCTAGTCATCCAAGGTGCGGAAGCAGGAGGCCACGGAAGAGCAACAGATGGCATGGGCATCATGGCGCTCTTCCCAGAAGTCGCAGACGGCATCCGCGATTCCGGCATCTCACTGATAGCTGCTGGAGGCATCGCCGATGGCCGTGGTGTAGCTGCTGCACTTGCTCTTGAAGCACAAGGTGTGGCTATGGGTACGCGCTTCCTTGCATCTACCGAAGCTCGGATCAGTAAGGGGTATCAGAACGAAGTCGTACGCGCCACGGATGGTGCTCGGAGTACTACCAAGACTATGCTGTACAATCATCTGCGAGGTACAGTTGGCTGGCCTGAGCAGTATAGCCCGCGTGGTATTACGAATAAGAGCTGGTGTGATCACCGAGCAGGTGTTCCGTTCGAGGAACTGAAGAAGCTTCATGAAAAGGCTGAGAAGTCGGGGGATGCAGGGTGGGGTCCAGAGGGAAGACTGGCTACGTATGCTGGGGCTGCGGTAGGCCTTGTGCATAGTGTTGAGGATGCTGGAAGTTTGGTCAAGAGGTTGCAGGACGAGACGAAGGCGATTATACAAGGGCTGCACGCTGATGTTTAGAGTATCACAACGAAATTGCCGGTGCGTTTACAAGCATGTGGCCATTGCTCTGTGCTACCTACATCCTATGTTAAGATAGCCTCCGATCTCTTCAGTTCGATTAAGCGTCATCATCCGCTTCTGCGGGCGGGTGTTCGTAACTTCTTTGATTCTCGGGCTGAAATAGACGACCTGACTGTGTGCGGGCCAGGACCGGGGCTGGCCTGCTGCGGTCAATGGGATCGTCGTTGAGATCGAGGACTGTGGACAGATTGTCCATCTGCAAGAGTCCGGAAGAGTCCGTTTACTCCGAAGCAGAATCGCGCGTCTGCTCGGATGTAGAACTATTAGTCTGCTCGGACGCATGGTTATGTGTCTGCTCGGATGAAGTATTGCCCCTTTGCCGAAGTGCATAACTGGCAATTAGCTTACGCCATCGATCCTGCGTCGGGTTTGACACCGCTCTGTTTCTTTCTTTGTTTATGAACAATGCCGCATGTATCTCAACCACAGTTGCTCGTCCTCGGGGTCCTCTATACGCTGCTAATCATCAGCTCGTAACCGATGTTGTCTTCCGCGGGAGACTTACTGCGCGTCGTATCGAGTACGCCGGATGCAACACAGTCTGTGAGCAGACCAGTAAGTACATCAGTCCTGACATACCTCTTCCAAGTCCAATCTTTCCCATCAGCCTGGTCGATCGCCTCCCAATAGAGACAAAACTTGTGCATGAGGTCCCCGGTGCTTACTATAACCAATAAGATTAGTATGAAATCGACAATGTCTACCTTACTGAACTGTCACTCACAATATTCGAAGGCAACGCCTTCGTCATATTCAAGATACTTTCCAATGCACTCCATATGTTTGTACCTATCTTGCATAGTGATATCAAGCTGCAAGAGTCTACCGACAACATGATCGAGCTGGTCGTCTGTTAGCTGCTCTTTAAAGGCGTTGCAAGCAGTCGTAAAGCAGGGCAGACTACTGATGCTCATGGCTTTCGTCAAGCTGAGAAGTGTGTTTACAAATGCTGTTATGCGATCAACACTCAGGGGTGATTCTGGGTAACAACTTGTCGCCATCTTATGCTGCGCGGTATGATTGAGCGGGAGTGGGATAATGATCGTATTTAGTCGGTTCTAAATCTCTTTACGATCGTTTAGGTTTGCTGAAATCATCTGATCACAAGATCGAATCAACTACAAATCGTAAACATGTGGGTTGCCTCAATCGAAGAATGCAGGCAGTTGGCTCTTTGAACGACCTCAGAATGCCACTGTTATGTTCACGTTGAAAGGCAAAATCTCCCGTACGTGAACCGCGTGAGGCATAGACTAACTACATACATCGACAT